CGTGGCATGGCACGGGAAATGACGCCAGCGCTGCAGCGGGAGCACGAGTCGAAACAAGCGGAAGCGCGGAAATGAGGCCAGCGCTGCAGCGGGAGCGCGATTCGGAACGAGCGGAAGCGCGGAAATGAGGCCAGCGCTGCAGCGGGAGCACGATTCGGAACGAGCGGGGCCCGAAAATGAGGCCGGCGCCTCAGCGAGAGCAACATTTTGAAAAAGAATGCAAGCGAAAACCCAACTCCCGGGAAACCTGTGTGTAAAAAAACAGAACGCGGGGGGGGCGAACACTCCCAGCACGTCATCAGGGGAAGAGGGAGAGTAGTATTCATATTGAGTAATTGTGGAGAGGGGGAGAGGGGGAGAGGGGGAGAGGGGGAGAGGGGGACAGGGCGAGAGGGGGAGAGGGGAGAGAGGGAGAGGGGAAAGAGGGAGAGAGGGAGAGAGGGAGGGAGGGAGAGAGGGGATTGAGGGGGATGAGGGGGATGAGGAGGAGGAGGAGGAAAGGGAGGAGGAGGAGGAGGAGGAAGAGGAGGAGGAGGGGAAAGATGAAGAGAAAGAGAAAGAGGACTATAAAGATGATGATGCAGAAAAATAGCAGGAATTGAAAAAGGAAAAGACAGATATCGAACGATCTGGGGACGCGGCGCGCGCGGCTCTCTTTGACTTTGTCCCGCAGCCGTGCCGGCCGAAGCACGAGGCAGCCTTTGGCGCCGCCCACCAGCGGCTCCCCAGTGCTCTTCATCTCCCGTGCGGCGACCCCGCTCAGGCAACGCCAAGTGCGGTCCCCATTTGGAAGCCATTTTCGGCAGTCGAGGATCGACGAGGACGGGCTGGAGCATCGGGGTTCGAGGAGGCTCTGGACGTCCTGGGGGCGATCTTTGGGCTCCTGGGGGCTCTGGTGGTGGGGGAACTCCAGGGGGGGGCCGTCTCCTGGAGAAGGTGGCGGCGTCCGCCCCAGTGGTGACCCCACCTGGCGTTGCCTGGTCAGCCGCCCCGGGGGCCGAGCACGCCGCGACCACGGCACCCTCATGGAGAGCGGGGTCTCGTCGGCCTCGGCGCAGGCGCCCCCCCCCTTCGGAGAAGCCCCTCCTACTCCTCCTCGTGCTGCTCCTCCTGCTGCTGCTGCTGCTGCTGCTGCTCCTCCTCCTCCTCCTCCTCCTCCTCCTCCCTCCTCCTCCTCCTCCTCCTCCTCCTCCTCCTCCTCTCCTCCTCCTCCTCATCCCTCTCCTCGCCCTCCTCCTCCTCCCTACTCCTCCTCCTCCTCCTCCGCCTCCTCCTCCTCCTCCTCCTACTCCTCCCTTCCTCCTCTCCCTCCTCTCATCCTCCTCTCCTCTCCTCCTCCTCCTCCTCCTCCTCCTCCTCTTCCTCCTCCTCCTCCTTCTCCTCCTCCTCCTCCTCCTCCTGCGCCTGCGCCTGCGCTGGCACCAACGCCTGCACCATTGTCATCATCGACGCCCGCAGCGACTACGCCAGCACCAGCGCCGACATCGCAGCCTGCGCCGGAACCAGCGCCTGCATCGATGCCAGCACCGACGCCAGCAACGATTGGGTCGAAATCCATCGGTGCAAGTTTGAGCCCCTTTCCGGGTCAAACGCCTACGATGGCAACGACGCCTGCATCAATGTCAACGCCGACGCCAGCAGCGTCTACGCTAGCATCAGCGCCTGCACCGACGACTTCGGCGCGTGCATCGATGTCAGCACCGACGCCAGCAGCGACTACGCCAGCACCAGCACTGTTACCAATGCCAGCGCCTGCGCCGACACCAACGCCTGCACCATTGTCAGCATCGACGCCCGCAGCGACTACGCCAGCACCAGCGCCGACATCGCAGCCTGCGCCGGAAGCGGCGCCTGCATCGATGCCAGCACCGACGCCAGCAACGATTGGGTCAAAATCCATTGTCGACCCCCAGCCCACGCCAGCATTCGACTTCCCACAGCCACCTCCACCTATCGGACCACAGGCTCCGCCAGCTCAGCATTCCGACCACCGCCCCACAGCATTCGACTGCCTGCGCCCATCCTCACCTATTGACGTACTCCCCCCTGCAACTCAGCACCCCGGCCGCCAGCCGGCAGTGCCGGACCTCCTTCCTCCACGTCCACCTCCTGACGTCGAGCCTCCACCCGCCCAGCGCCCCAACCTCCAGCTTCCAACGCCAGACCTCATTGTTCCACCTACACCAATCGACCTCCAGCCTACACAATCTCAGCCATCGACCTCGAGCCAGCACCCGCCTGCAGCATCGTCTTCTTCGCTGGCTTCGGGCGCAGGCGCACGGGCTGCAAGGAGCAGGGGCAGTGCTCAGGCGCGAGCCGCTGGTGATATGCCGCCTGACGTTCCAGGACGACACGGGACATCATCCCACGCTCGACGGACGGCATTTGCAGGGAGCTACTCGGGGGCTACTTGGAACGCCCAGGGCCTACTGGCGTATGATCCGGACCGACAGCACTGCAAACGACAGCATCTCACCCGCATCCTTGCTCATCATGATTTTGTCGGCATCCAAGAGACGCATTCTACGAAGGCTGCGAGCTCTGCATTACAACTTCCCCCAGACATTACACCATTTTGGTCCCATGGCGCACGAAACCAAGGCGGACTGGCACTACTCCTGAAAAACAGCTTCCTCCAGAAGTTCCATCCGGTCCGCGATGATGATTGGATAGAGCATCGATGTGGGCGACTGGCTGTGTTACACCTCCAGGGCCCGCTTGGCGGACTTTCCATTGCTACGACGTATTTCCCCTCGGGCAGTGCTGCGGGAGAGGCCCGGCACGCGTTGCGACTGTCTCTTGACCAAGCGATGGCTTCCCGTCCTGCGGACCGCTGGATTGTGATGGGCGATTTCAACTGGGTGGCACGCCCCGAAGACCGAGTGGGGCTTTCTACGGCAGAATGGTCTGGTCAACGGAACGCTGCCGAACAGGCCCATTGGTCCCAACATATCGCCGGGCCACGGGGGCTGCGAGAAATGGCGCAACCTTTGTTCACATTTTGTTCTGAAGATGTGCGTTCTCGTATCGACCGTGCCTACACGAATCACCATGCGGCTGACTACTTCAACGGATCATTCTGGGCGGCGGCATGGCCGTGGCCACCGACGGACGCCCAGGGCGTGGCGGTGTCAGACCACCGCCCAGTGGCATTCGGGCACAGGCGCCCCACGCCCCAGAGAGGAGCAACCACCATACGGGACGCTATTGTCCGGCACCCTGACTTCGCGCATCGGGTGGCCAGGGAGTTCCACAGCAACCTCAAGCAAGTTTCGCGTGACGGCCGGATTCCCGACGCACTGAACAAGCTGGCAATGCTGAAAACAGCAATGCACACCGTGGTTGCCAATATGGCTGAGAACCACTGCGGCCAGGACTTCTTGAAGAACCTCGGAGTGGAGCCCTCTGCAGCAACGGCCTTCTCGTTGGTGTCTGGCGTTTTGAATGGGGCAATTGCTACCACGCGGCAGCTCCGACTGCGGCTACCGACAGAATGGGTGGGATCGATTGCGCCGGCTGGCTTTTCCTTGGAGCAATCCTTACAACGCCTCAAAGACAAAGCCATCGAGCTGACCAAGACAGAGGTTTTGGCGGACATACGCAAGATGCAGAACGACACCAGCAGGGCCAACGACGACGAGCACCAACGACGCACCAAACAAAACTCCATCAACCAACGTCTGGCGCGACTCACACGTAGCACAGTCAATGCAGGGATACACTTCTTGGAGACAGACAGCGGTGACGTGGTCACAGACACGCGAGCCATCGCAGAACAATTGGCGGCGCACTGGGCACATGTTTTTCGACACAAGCCAATTGACGAGGCCAAGCTCGACGCGTGGCTGGAGTTGGCCAATCGCGCTGGCAGTCAACGAATCGCTGTCCCGGACGCTCGCTGGAGGCTCAGGTCCAAGGACATAGAGAAAGCGTTGCGGATCGCCGGCAATTCGCGCCCAGGCCCGGACGGGGTGCCCTTCCAGGCTTGGCGCAGCCTAGGACGATTGGGGACCCTTGTGCTTTGGGAGGCAGGCCGGCAACTTGAGACAGGAGTTTCAGCGGGAGACGCGGCCCACGACGCCTTCAACGAGTCTCTCCTCTGCTGCCTGCCAAAACAGCCAACGAGGACGGACGCCCAAGGGGGCCAAATCTTCCGACCTGGTGGCACGCGCCCGCTGTCCATTACCAATTCCGATAACAGGGTTATCGCCAACGCGTACCGCCTGCGTTGGGAGCCCATTGTCGCGCCAGGGATTGCCAAGGAGCAGCGCGGGTTCATCCCAGGGAGATCAATGCTAGCTAATATCGTCGATGTCGAGCATGCCGCTGGGGTCGCTAGTTTGCAGCAGGACGACGCGGCGGTGGTCCTGTTCGACTTTACGGCGGCCTTCCCATCGGTGTCGCGACAGTACATGATGGCCGCCGCACGAGCAGCAGGCTTCCCCGACGGGGCAATGCAAGTATTGTCGTCCCTCTACCACATCACGGTCGGGGTGCTCATGTTGCACGGACAGCTGCACGACCGGGTGCCCCTGGAGGCTGGTATTCGGCAAGGGTGTCCCCTGTCACCGCTGCTCTTCGCCTTAGGTTCGGACAGCTTGCTTCGCATTCTCGGGCTCAGAGCGCCGACTTCAACGACCAGGGCGTTCGCGGACGATACGGCCATGGCGCTGCGCTCGTGGCGACAGGAGCACAAGTGCGTCTTCTCAACCTTCCGTGTTTTCGAAGCTGTCTCGAATCTGTCTCTCAATCTTGGAAAAACCGTTGTCATACCTTTGTGTGGGGCGGACATCGACGGGCTCCAAGCAACTACCAGAGCGAACCCCGAGACCGTGCAGATCACATGGGCTAGCAGCGGGAAGTACCTGGGATATTATATCGGCCCAGGGAAGCAAGACAAGACGTGGACAAAACCAGTAGCGAAGTACATTGACCGCTTGGGCGACTGGCAATGGAGTGAACTCGGCTTGAACATGGCTCTGGTCGCCTACAACGTGCATGTGCTACCTACGCTTCTGTTCGTCGCCCAACTGGAGGCCCCGCCGCAAGAGGTCCTCGAAAAGGAACGTGTTGCGGTTCGACGGGTGGCTCCGGGGCCCGGGGCCTGGTGCAGTCCGGCTGATCTACACCACGGGGCAGAGCTTGGGCTGGCGGCCCACCTTCGGCCTCTGGAAGCTTCCTGCAAAGCGGCGATGATGCGCGCGCACGCTTGGGAATCGAGAGGGGACGGCGGCGTGGACTGGGCTGGGATGGCTGCAGACTTCGCGTCGGCACGGGCCAACACTGACAATCTGGTTCGCGCTGCGCGGTGGCACAGATGGCTCGACGCCCACATCCCTACGGTTGTTCTGGCGGTCGTCGGGGAACAGGCCCGCGCTGGTATACATATCCATGCAGCGCGCTTGGCCATCAGCAATGTCAGAGTGGGGCCGCTCACGGAGGCGGACGATCGGAAGTTCAGAAAAAGTACGCAGAAGTGGTTCGTCGCCCGTCTCTTGTCGCGCGATGGATACAGCATGGAATGGAGGCTCCGCAGGAGACTGGCGAGATGGAGGTTGACAGAACTGCCGGGTCGCGCGGCCCGCATGGTGGCGCAAAATCTTCAGAGGCTTCGTCGATTGGCACCTCCCAGGATTAGAGCAGCGATGATAAGTACGATCTTCAACCGCTGGACAACAGACCGGAGAATGCGGTCGTTGCGGCGTGGGCGCCGGACCTGTGTGCTTGGTTGTTCGTGCACAGCTGACGACTCGATCGAGCACTACGTTCACTGTTCCGTGGGTCGCGCGCGGTCACGGGGACGACTATGCAGGGACGACGCGGGACCGGGTATGGCTGGTGGCGTGTTTGCTGTTTCTATGACGGATGATCAACTACAACGACAAGCGGTTAGCAATTATGTTCTGTACCGGGCAGTGAACAGTTTACGACGACGAGAATTTGGGACATTGGAGGAGAGGGCCGCTTTTGCGAAGGAGATCATGAACCAACTATTACACGAGGCTACAAGAGATGATGCGCGGCTTCGGAGACTGTGCCGATTCCCAGAGGGGTTGGT